CTTCTTTTTTTTTTGCCTACATATAGTTTTTTTAAATTTTTCTTTTTTTTTATTGCCTGTACACAGTCTTTCAATGTCTACTAAAAAGGCTCGTCACGCAAATGTATATAAAAGTTAAGAAGTGAACACAAATAAATCACAATTCATATCACTCATGCAGTTAATAGATTCATGAATTTTACAAACCACCCTCGCTCATAGGCAGACGTCCAAAGTCTGGCCAAAAAAATAAAACGCATCAAAATCATATATCGAATACTTTTTGCATGCAATTGGGGCATGAAACTAGGCTCCATTGTTTCGCGCTGTCTGGTCCCAAAATGTTATCTCAATAGCAGACAGTTTTGATATGCAAAAAATATATACAGCCGAGAGCACTGCAATTGGGCATAACAGACTGTCTCATACTCGTTTGCAGTTCCGAAGAGTGTTTATAAATAGAATTTGGGGAGTAATAGTAACAGTAGAAGCATACTAGAGAAAGCTTTAAAGCCCTTTACGAAGAGCTGTATTTAATACGAATATACTCTACCTACATCCCTGAACGGGCATATAAAAAACAAACCGCCAAATGAACATGAAAATGAAATATCATGCAAAGACTCTAATGGGAGCCGCCAGAAGTAGTAGTAGCTGGAATAGTAGACCCAATGGCTATATCAACATGTGCTATATTTATTAACTGATTTTATTGTAGTTGTTGTTGTTGTTGCTGTGGCTGATACTGCTGACAATATCTCGTCTAGACTGCCTATTATTAGAGTCCAAAAAATATTTATGAAATTCATTGTTATAAAATATGAAGCAAAAAGTTTCCACACGCAAAGATTGGCTACAAAAAAAAAAAAAAAAAAAAAAAAAACGTAAGAAACAGCTAGAAGTCTAGAATAGTAGATTCGTAGGGTTATAGCTAAATGAAAATCATATTAAGTGAGATTTATATAGTTTTCTAATAGCTAAGCAAAGTTTTTTGATTTACCTATCAAAAGCGGTCGTAGTTAACTTTAAAATAGCTAGAATTTGAATAACTATAAATGATTCTAGCTTTATCTAAACGACTGTTGATCTAAGCTCTTAATAATCTCTAGCCCGGATTTTAACTTGATCAAGATTCTAGCTATTTTTGGTATATCCTTATATTAAAATATCAAGACTAGATTTTAGCTTTACTTGAGCTTAACATTTTGCATTACATTGCTGTTTTCTAAAAGAAATATTTTAGCTAGAATTTGAATTTGAAGCTAGATTTGCCTCTAGTACACTAGGTCTAATAGGAAAAAAATATTTACGAAATATGGCTCTTAGCTATATCTAGCAATGTTTAAAGTGATATATATCTAAGCATATTTTAGTTAACCTTAGAAGTTAATTTTGTAGCAAATATGTTTCATATATTCCACATTATTAAACAATTATAAGTACTAACCATTCAATAATCAACCATTAATAGATAAATAGCACATATATATTTACAACAAACAACAACAACAAAGAAACCTGATGCAATCTCTGATTCCAATTACATTTCTGCCAAAAAAAAAGTTCACAGCACGCGCAGCAAAAAAATTATATAAAAAAAATTGACTTATCACGCCAATTTTTGTTTATTATTTTCGGAAGAGAGGTGCGGGGGTCAGAGGTTTTAGTGATAAGCCACAGGAAGCACTCAATACACGTGCAGAGGCATTTAAGGCCAGTCACACCTGTACCACACACACACACACACGTTAGACAACACTGCGCACAGCACTTACACGTAGTCCAGTAGCACAGTTTTTATTTTATTTTATAACAGTCTTATTTCAGTTAACTTTTAAACAGTTCGTAGCCAATTGAATTTTTTGCGCACGTTTGAACATGTGATGCATATCGAACTGTCTTCGACATTGTCTGGAGCCGCCGACTCCAACTCCACAGCGCCCTGGGTGAGGTCCGTGGGGTCGCGGCAAACCAAAATAAACGCCCTAGCATTGAACCACACGGCGTGTGTGGATTGAAATATTGGTATATAAATAAGTGCAATACATTTGCCTGTTTTTTAATCATAATTATAAATACATATTGAGGTACATTGAAAACAGCAGCATCAGCTGCCTCACACGAACATCTCCAGGTTCTTCTGCATATAGCTGACCAATGCCGCCTCGAACTGGGCACGTGTAACGGCGTCCATTTGCAGATTGAAGCTCACATAGAATTGACGGCCGTAGCGCATGGCCAGCTTGTTGGCCAGCACCAGAGAATCGCTCTGCCCGCTCTCGCCGAGAAATGTCGTGGAGACGATTTGCTTGCTGGGCGGACGTGATAGCATCGCCATGGCAAACTCATCCACTCGCTCGGCATCTGTGGTGCCCAGGAATATCAGTGTGCTGCCGTTCATCTTCAGCACACGCAATGTCACCTGCACAGAGCCCACAACGAGTTGAGCCATGTGCGAGGCAAAGGGCAGGCTCGATGCCGTAGCCGGAGTTGCTGCTGCTGGTGTTTGTTGTTGTTGTTTCTTGGCAATGTCGCCGCAAGCATCCTGCAAAACAGCACAGCTTTCCATGTCTATAGTTGGTTTGTTTTACTTAAGAATAATTTGATATTTGCTACTTTATAAATTTACAATGAAATGCAGTTTTTTTGTTAGATCACAGTGTTGCTAAACAAACAAATGTTTTGCAGGGCTGCAAGCTCATTTGCAAAGCTTACTGTGTTGTACAGCGCAAACATTTGCGCGCCAAAGCGAATTCAATTTAAATTTAGGGAATGTTATTTGCTTTCCCGCCGTTGAACTAAATCAAAACACATTTATATTCGCCGTTCGCAGTGTTGTTTTCATTTTATTAAGGCTCGTAATTTAAATGTAGGCGTTTTCTTTTTTTGGATTAAAATACATATTACGATTTCGATACAAGCTCCATGGATATATTGATGTGGAGCGGGTTTCAGCTTGTTTCGATTTATACTACTTAAAAGAATATATATTTATATTGAGAACTTTCTGGTTGCGATTAGCAAAGAAAATATAAGAGAAATTCATATTTTAAAAAAAGAGAACAATTTAGTGCATGTAAATCAGTTCAGGGTTAATTGTTCGAAATGAAATTCACTAATTAATTTATATTGTATATATATGAGTTTACGTGTGTCTCGATTTAAATATCATAAATGTTGCATTTGTTGTTTTTTTTTTTTTTTTTTTTTTTTTGTTTCATTTGTTGCAGTTTATAATCACAATGATGGCATATTTTTGTTAATTGTTATTAAAGTTGCTTGAACTTGAATGAATATCAAATAATTTGGATTAACTTGTAGCGTTTTTCTACTATAATTTGACTAACATTTTTGCAACCGCGATTTCAACTTTCATCTTGTTTATATAATGTGTTTTTAAATGGGAATTTTTTTTTCGTTTTTTTGTTGACTTTTGTAAATTTTTTTTAATGGTTAATTTTTGTGATTTTTTTTTTTGTTTTTTTTTTTACGTTTAGTCGGTTGCGAATAAATATATATATAGAAGTGTTATTACATATATAGTGTGTGTGTTGGGTTATTATGCATCGTTTATTGATTATGGGGCGCTTTAATCTTCGTCATCCTCGGATTCAGCTTCCTGCAACCAGGTCAACCAGGCGTTCACCTGGAACAATGCTGAGCCCTTGCCTGGATATTTGTCCGATATCTCCTCCTTCCATAAAACGAATGCTTCCTCCTCAATGATTTCGAAGTCGTAGAGATATTTAAACCAGCGACAAAGCATGCCTGCGAAAAATTGAAAAATTTATATTAGTATATAGCTATAGAAATTTAGATATTATATATATCTTACCCTTGGGGAAGTTCTCGTTATAACAGAAAGTCTGCAGTGCATAAAGCGCCATCAATTGCAATTCGTTTTGACCTAGGAAAGTTTGCAGCATCTGGCTGTAGGTCTCCAGCATGTTTTGTTCCTTTTGTATTATTGATTTCTCGGGATGCTCCTTGGGGTCCACGTTGCTAGCCAATGTTGTCTCCTTGGTGATGTATTTGACCACAACGGTCATGAGTGCCTGGATGAAGCCTGGGTCCTTGTAGTACTTGTTATCCACATTAGCCTTGATCCACTTGTAGAAATTGTTTGGATTGGGATCGTTTTGCAGCTGCTTCAGCATCTCTGCCTGCACCTTGAGCAATGGATAGAGGAAGGACAGCTGTCGATCCTCTAGAATTTCGGCCAAACGTTCCTTGTTGCGATCCACCTCGGGCAGGCTGTTCATCAAATCAATTTTGCTAGCACGGAACTTCTCCTCCAGCGCATCCTTGCCAATGGTCTTGTGCAGCTGCTGCAGCACCAGCAAAAACAATGGATAATGTTGTCCATTGTCCGTGTAGTTGGCAATGTCGTTAAGCTTTATCAGAGCCGGCTCGCATACGGCCTTGCTGAGCACGGAGGCGACCAGGGCTGTGATGCGTGGGTTCAGTGCCTCGCGCTCGTTCATCTTGTTGACCAACTGCTTGAAGATCTCAACGATGATATTTGGCTTGATGTTGGCCTGTTTGCGCAATGTCTGCAAGAAGCGCACGACACGTTCCAAATAGACGTCGTTGACACGGTCAAGCACCTCCATCAATAGATTGAGACAGACATCCTTGAGCGATTTTTCCGGTAGTTTTAGCTCAATAAATCCTTCGACCAATTCCGTAAACTGATCGCGTTGTCCATTGACGGCCTCCACTGTTTCCGATTCGGTTTGTTGTTCATCTTCATTTGCGATTTCCTGCTTTACAATCGGCTCATCATCCGCTTCCTGCTTCTCCTCATAGTAGAATTTCTCCTTGAAATAGGCTTGCGCCTTCTTGGACAACTCTTCCTTGCTTGGTCCCTTGTCCTTCTTCTGCTGCTTGCCGGAGCCGGAGCCTGATGGTGTTGTCGGTCGGTCGGTGCCGCCATTCTTGGCATTGGCTCCCAGCTGCTGCTGCTGCTGCTCCTTATTATCATTACCACCTGCTGCTAATCCTGCTGTTAACTTCTTGTCCTGCTCCATGGCTGCCGATTGACCGAAATTGGGCGACGACGATGTTGCCTTCAGGCTCTTCTCGCCCAGCTGCTGCACTGCGTGCAGTCCACGATTCTCGATACCATATTCCGCCGAGGGCGTAGACGATGGCCGCACCGGAGTGTTGATCAGATGTGATGTGGGTGTGCCCAGCAATGGATAGTGCGAATTGGACAGCTGCGATGTGGCCGATTGCTGTGCAGATGAGCTGCTGCTGTTGCCGCTCGGCGGCGTCGAAATGGGCAGAGTGGCCGGGAATTTCTGATTCTGCGACGCGGCGCGGAACAGCAACGAATTGGCTGCTGGACGCATTTGCAGATTCTCAACCGAATCCTGATTCGTCGATATCAAGTTGCGCTTGAAACGTGGCGCCAACTCCTTGCCGCCCAGCATCATTTGAGTGCCGCCTCCGCCGTACTGGCCATCATTGTTCCGATCGTTGTTGCGATCATTGTTACGATGCGAGCCGCCACTGCCGCCGCCACGTGAATCATCGCGATTGTTGCTGCTGCCGCCGCCGCCAGATCCATTCTGGTTGTTGTGCTTGTTGTAGCGATTGTTGCCGTAGTTGCCACCGCCGCTGCCGCCGCCGCCTCCACCGCTGTTGCCGCCCTGGTCACGGTTACGATCACGATTACTGTATTGGCGATTGTCGCGATCACGATCCCGATCCCGATTGTTGCTTGTGGCAAAGCTGGAGAAAGGAGAAAAAAAGCTTGTATGAAATTCTGTACCTCAACATATATCACTATATATTCAATACTCACGGTGATACAATGGGCGATGCGCCCGTAACACTGAGTCCGCTAAACATATCATTGTAGCCGCCAGGCTGTATATTCAAATGGAAGCGATTCATCCAGCTATCGCCGTCGCGATCATTGTTGCGCATGTCGCGGTTGCGATTGGCGAATTGGGTGCGTATGATGGAGTCATCGTCCGAGCGTATTTGCTTTATCGGGACGGGTCCTTCGGAGCTGCCGCCGACCTTGCGCGGTATCCAATTGTTTTGACGCAACTCGATGACATCCTTTAGCATAAAGCGTATCCTTGGTGGATATTCAGTTGATTTTGAACGACGTTCCAACGTCTCAAAATACTGGTTCATCAGCTCTTTGCCCTGTTCTGAATCCAGATTCTTGCCGCAAGTCTTGAGCAATTGAGCCAGGCATTCCATGTCCTCGCACATCTCTTGCGCCCCGGCCGTACGTTTCTTCTTCTTATCCAATAGCTCCATAATGCATGCGTGCAACACATGCTTCGACAGCATATCCAACTTGTTGAGTTCACCAATGAATTTAACATTGCCCAGCATTCTCTGCTTGGCCAGATGGCGTCGCTCCTCCTCATCGGCCTCATTCTCGGGCGGTGGTCGATTATCGTTGGCCTCATCGCGCTTCAAGCGATTGTTGAACTTGTCGCGACAGACGGCAATCAGAAGACGTAGAAATGTGCACGAATTATTTGGATCCTTTTCAAATGATGGCGCTTCCTCGGACAAACGCTTGCACAGCTGTGCATACATAGACGAGTACTTCGGCTCGTCCAAGGCTTTGTCGAAGATCAGTAAGATGACACCGTTCAGTATGACAATCGAATTCAGATCTAGCTTCAGCAGCTCATCGCTCAACTCTTGGAATTTCTCGGGCGTCAATTTGTTCAATATGCCACGGACACGTCGGAAAACTGCATCGTTCTTCTCGCTCTGCGTTAGGCCATGCTGTGGACGCAACGATGGCGGTATCCAGCGTCCGGTAATGGGTTGCTGTGCTCCAGCTCCAGCGCCGGCACCAATTGATGCTGCGCCTCCTGATACTGATGATGCTGCCCCTCCAACTCCTCCTCCTGTTGCTGTTGGTGGCGGTGTAGACGACTTGTATGATTGCTGCTGCTGCTGCTGTTGCTGATGATGATAACTTTGCTGCTGCTGTTGTTGTTGATGCTGCTGCTGTTGCAGATTGTTGCTTGCTGCAGTGTGTCTCAAGTTCTGGCCACGCTCGTAACGCTCGTCGTTGTTGCCTCGATTATTGTAACGCCCGCCGCCGCTGCCGCCGCTTCCTCCTCCTACACCACCTGCGCTGTAGCGTTGATGTGCCGGTGATTCGTCTGCGTAGCTATCCCTATAATTGTCCCGTTGGCTATAGTCGTCACGTTGATAGCGTCCACTCAGGCTGCCGCTGTTATTATTGTTGTTGTTGTTGTGGTTGCTGCTGCCGCTGCCATCGTTGCGCTGTGAGCCGTAATTTGATTTATTTGGATTGCCAATTGTCGAATTGCTGCCGTAATGACGTTGTTGTTGTTGCTGCTGCTGCTGCTGTTGTCCGCTGCTGCTACTGCTGCTGCTGCTGCTGCTGTTGTGGTTGATGTTGCTGCTACTGTTGCCATTGCCATTGACCGTCTCGTAGCGTGAGCCGCTGCCAGTTGCTTGATGCGAGGCGCGATAGCTGCTGCCGCTGCTGTTGCCGCCCGCCGAGGAGTTTGTGTTTAGATTTCGATTGTAGCTGACGCCATCGGAGGAGCTCGAGTGATAGTTGTTCCGACTACCACGATGAACTCCCAGACTACCGTTATAACTGCTGCTATCAGCTGACTGCTGACTGCCGTTAGTCAAGCCGCCGCCTCCGCTATTATTGTTGCCAGTCGCTGCACCCAAAATGTCACTATTTTTGCTATAGTAACGCGACGACGACGAATCGTTTTGATATGATCGTCGAGGCCTTGGGCTTAGCTCCGAATCGTGTTGACGAATTTTGACGGTATTCTTGTTATAGCCACTGGAGTAGTGTCCGCTAGGGCCACCAATTTGCTGTCCTCCTACACCGCCTCCAACTCCGCCTGTTCCCGATGAGTTAGCACCTGTGATCGAACCAGTGCTTGAACGGCTACCGTTGCGACCACTCAGTCCAGATTCGTTGACGCCAATTGATTTATTGGAACGATAATTGCCGCCGTTGTGGTTCGCACCGTTGCTGCTTGTGCCCTTGTCAATCTTCACCAGATTCTTGAGATTATTGAACGTATCGGTCGCTGTGGTGATGGGCAATAGATTCGGACTGGTATTCAGCAGTGTCTTCTGGCCAATGGTTGACGCCGTTGTTGGTGTTGTCGATGTGGTTGTTGTTAATGCCGATAGTGGTGTCGGTGGTGTTTGGCCTCCGGTACCGCYGCTGCCGTTATTGCCGCTGCCGCTGCTGCTGCTGGTGACGCCTAAAACGGCGCCGCCGCCTCCGCCTCCACCGCCGCGATTGCTCAATTGCTCGTAATTGCGCTCGATAATATCGTTTGGTTTCGATGACGTTATTATCAAACGCAAATCGTTGACGCCGCCGCTGCCGCACCCACTGCTGCTGCTGTTGACGCTGCTGCTGGTGTTGGTGCCGCCGCCGCCGATGCTCGTCGTATCACCGGTACTGGTGCCTCCCTCAATGGTGATCGTTTTGGCGCTGTGGCGGAACTGATCTATGATGACGCCTGCCTGATGCCCGTTGCTAGTACCGTTAGCCCAACGCTGCGGACTATCGTCGTAAGTGTGCAAAAGGGGAGCGGCGTCGTACGTTGATAGTGGAATGGTGATAATTTTTCTCTATCGACTCGGGAGCGAAAAAATTTAATTCGTGGATTTTCGTCTCACTGGAGGGGCTCGCTGTTCCTAGCGCGCTCTCGCTCTTTGTTAACGGTCCTCTTGGTATCTCGATCCTGTTTGATCTGCCTCTCGCTCTCGCTCTGGCTCTCTGTGCTCTCCCTGTGTGGTGTTATACAACACAACACACGCGAAACAAAACAAAAATTTTGTATAGTACACACAGACACGCACGCACACAGAGACACACACACAAAAATATATATATATATATCGATATATAAATATATATGTGAATATATATGTTAAGCTGTATATGTATAGCTGCTTGTTAATTGATGGGGCTCCCTTCGGTTGCTTTGTCCTAAAGTCTGTCTTTCTCTTCTGCTACGTCTCCTTCGATATATGTTTCTGCGTGAGTTTTGCCAGATGTTTTATTTATATTTATTTTTTTGTTTGTTTTTGTTTAATTTATGTAATTTGTTTAGTTAGATAGATTCCTGTCTAATCGGATATTGCCTGCTCCGTTGCTGCTTGCCGCTTACTCTTATAGGAATCCTGTTGAAAAATGAGAAAAGGTCGTGTCAAAATTCTAATTAGAAATGTTATTGATATGCTATAGGGGAATTGGTAACAGTTTTCAAATAATATGAACAAACAAAAATATAAAGTGACGAGACAAAGTTGTGTGATATGGTCCAAATATATTGTACATACGTACAAGCATATACTGACAAATGTGCAAATGAAAACTGAGCGGATATATACACAAACACATACACATATAACAATAATAGATATAATAGAAATCTTTAAATCGAATTCCCTTGAAATTACTTTTCACGTCGACTCTCATTTGCTTATGCCTGCATATAAAAATGTGCGTATATGTGTGTGTGTGTGTGAGAAATTTAATAAATGCCCAATAAGTGTTAATTAAGCTGCTCTGGCCTTTACTATGGCTCGAGGCACAGCTGTTCGTTTTCTTCGTTCAGCTACGCTCGAATTTAAAGCTTTGGTTTACTACTAGAAAATAACGGTTGTTTGACAATGCTCGCTCGCTCGCTCACTTGMCGTTGGCAATGGGAAACTATCATAAGTCTAAAACTGGAATTTTAATGAAAATAACCTCGCAAAACACCTTCAAGTTTATTTCACTTTTCCCCCACACACGACGCAACGCAATTGAACGTCACACACAAATACACAAACGATGGCTGCGTTCTCTGCTCAGCTTGGGGAAATTTCAATATGCATGTATGCCATGTACATATGCTGTACATCTACGTGCCAGTGTTGCCGTGCTGCACCATTAAAATGCGCAAATAGAGTGCATTTCATGAAATGAATGTACATATTATTAATGCAATTACTTGAGCTGCTCAATATACAGGAACACTGTTTTTTTAATGCACTTAAATTGATTTTAATAAGCAAACAAATTGAGTGGGGCAACTAACTGGTCGGCCAGGTCGTTCGCTTTTGTTCTTTGTTGGCTTTTTCTTTGTTTGCGCGCGCTCCGTTTGCCAAGTTTGAACTCCTCCTCTATGTACTTACATACATATATGTATGTGAGTGTATGGGAATAAGTGTATAAAAATTCAAACTGGGATGTGTGGATGCTCACGTATCTCGCAAAAACTCACACACATACTCATGCACATTTTCAAGCGTGCGTATGTATGTATGTGTGTACCCATTTCGCTAGACGTTGCTGTTGCGCACAAGCGAGCGAATTTCTCAGTGTCAGTGTCCTTTGAATGTGTGCGTGTGCCTTTGCAAATGTATGAGTTTGTGTGTGTATGTATAGAGGTTTATGGCCTCTGCTAGAGCTTTCGTTGGTTCGCAGTTTCCGTTCTGCGCCATCGAATTAAAGTCTCTTGACCCCAATAAAAGTGTACTAAATGGGTGCGTTGTTGTTTTTTTGATTAGCGGTGCTTAGCCTAAACCCAAGAAAAAACAACATTCAAATTATTTCGCATCTGCGCCATGAGTCACATATGAATGCTAAATTTTACACTTTTGCTTTATGTGATTTTCACTCAAAGAGAGCACACACACACACACATACACTCACATACAAATTTGAGAGTTTCTAAAGTTTAAGCATGATTTTGCATTTTGAAAGCTCCCCACCCAAAGCAACCCTGAAGCCTGATTTGCATTTTGTCCATATATGTCGAGGTTTGTACGTGTGGTTGCATTTAAATGCCTTCCAAGCACCCCCCAAATAGTGGCCAAAGTGTAAAACCACCCCAAAAAGAGTGCGCATATATATGCCGCCCTTTCTCAAGCGTTGCAGCGCAAAGACGTCGACGACCCCGACCCGAACGAACCAAAACCCGATGCCGCGACAAAGAGACCCAGTTGTGGATGATTTTGACCTCAATTCAAGTGAGTCGTGCATAACCGTTCAAGTAAATCCCACTAGAAAAAACCTGATGCCATTTCCAATGACACTCACACACAAACACATATACATTCGCAGAGAGATATAAAATGGTATTTTAGATGGCAAACGCGTAAATTACTCTCTATTTAATCCAATGACCCGCCCTCGTTTTCTGCTAGAGCTATAGCCCGGCCTGTTTTCAATATGCCTTGCAACTAGTTTTTTATTCTTTTAATTTTCTTTTTGTACTCTTTTTTCAATGCTTTCGTCATGCACATCGTACAAAGTGCACACACACATACACTCAGCTGTTTGTATGCTGCTGCATGTGTGTGCGTACAAACGTGTGTGGCTGTGTTCGAAGATAAACCGCGTACACACGGAAAATCAAAATGAAGCTGCATTGAAAGCGAATCGAAAAACTCAAAACTCAACAAAGAAGAGAGAAGAGAGGAAAGAGAGACAGAAGCATGCAGCAAAGCAACGTCAACATCAGTTTTCCGTTGTGTGTGCCGCTGCCGCCGCCATTTTGTTTGCTAGCACTTGACGTTGCCGTTGCCGCTGCTGCTACTGCTGCTCTTCTCTCGCTCTATCTACCTACATACATACAAATACATTTCTTTGTATTTTGAGTGAATCATTTTTTCTCTTTCTTTTTTTGATTTTGATTTCTTTGTAAGTTTCATGCAGCGCATTTACTTTTTTCTTTAACTCAAGTTATACGAATTCACAATTTTAAGACGAAATACTGCGGCATTATTACACACTTATTGATTCATCGTGAATTTTCTGCTGCTGCTGCTATGAGCGAGGAAGCAAAAACGAGGACGTTCCTAATGTACATCGTACATCATGGAAAAATTTTTGAGGCTAAAATTTTTTTTCAACACTCGTTCTTATAACCTTAGCACATTTTGCAGTACAATTCAAACCAATATTACACACTTTAACTTTTGTCTATATGTATATTAAATATAATAATATAAGTAGGCTGTGAACTTTCTCTGTCTTTATTGTACTAACCTCTATAAATTACTGACTGTATGGCAACTTTTTTGCGAAAATTACTACCACCAGTCCGACGTGCTGCAAGACAATCGACGATATTATCGGTTATCTGCTATGGGTGGCGTGCTTAACGATATTTCCGTGAATATCGATGTGCGGAGCTATCGCAAAATTTCAGAAGCACGTATGTAGGTTAGCATCGATTAAATTTTATTTCCATGCATATATTTGACAGTTTGAGTGTTAATTCATGTAGTTTTCATAGTTGATTAGAGTTTTAACCTCTATGCCTATTTTATGGGGCCTATTTTTGGAGTATTTTCATCACTTCCGCAATCAGTTTCATTAACGATGTGACCGTCTGCATTTTATATTTGTCTTTTTATCGGCTGTGGTGCTCCCTGCGCAGCTGATTATTTCATTCTCATGTCGTTCCCTTTGAATGTCATTTGTTCCCCCATTGTTTGTTTATATTTGCATTGCGTGGGCGTGTGTGCATCGCTGCTCTACAGAATTAAAACGTAATGAGTGATATTAAAATTTTACAATTTGCTCCTTTTGAGTCGTTTGTGTCGCCGACATTTTGGCATAAATTAGCAGAACTCAAACTCGACTATGATCGTTTGTCCGATACAAAGCGTTCAATTTTCGGATACTACACAAATCGCAAGGCGTCCGGTTGTCTGCTCGAGGTCGACTACAGCGCATATAATAGGTAAACTGCGTGGCCAGCTGACTGATAAGAGGACACAATTAACTATTAATTACTTCACAGTGAAGCGCAGACACCAAAATTCAGCCATTTAGCCCATGGAAATATTTACAATAAAAATACAATTGAGGAGTTCAAAGCCCTGGATAAGACAGCACTGCTGGTAGATGAGGGCAAACAACTCTTAGATGATATGCGCAGTGGCCGAGCCTTGAGCGACGCCAGTTTATTGACGCGCTTCTTTGTTCTGTCGTTCGCGGATCTGAAATGCCATAGCTATTACTATTGGATCGCCTTTCCCTGCCCCCTGACACCCGCACTGGAATTGCTTAGCCCAGCTACAAAGCTGAAAGAAATTCCCAATAATCGAAACTTTGTGGAAGCTATTTCCGTGTTGCCTGCGCATGCGCAAAACTTTTTTATCTTGCATGTGAACGAACAGGCGAAAGTGTGTGAGGCGCTCAGCTTGACTGCTGCTTTAAGTGATTTCGATGAGCAGCGGGCGCAGCATTATATTTACTGTTTCGCCGATCCCAGCGAATATGAGAATCCTGCCTGGCTGATGCGCAACTATGTGGCATTGCTGTTCCAGAAATGGTAAATAATAAGTGAATATGTTCAACAGGTGCGCTCGAAAACAAGATGCTTTACTATTGGCTGAAGAGAAAGCAGAGTGAGAGAGAGAAAGAGCGTGAGTCGAATGAGCTTAAGTTACTCAAACTCAACTCTCTTTCTCTTTCTTTCCTTTTCACTTTTGTTTGGCAATGCGCTCAAACTTTAGCCACAGCTGTGTTAGATATGTGCTCATCAAACAAATTGTACTCGATATCGATAATACATCGAAGAGAGCGAAAGCGAGTGAATTCAATTTTCATAACACTGATTTAACTCAAATACACTTTCTTACTCATTTCAGTCCCACTCTTATAGGCAAATCGCTCAAGTTCTTGGGTCTGCGCTACGATCAGCAAATGCACTTGGACAACAGCTTGATTTGGGAGGTACGTCAGGCTGAGGCATGCAACTATGAACAGGTTCAATTTGTTGGCTGGGAAGCGAATCGCAATGGCAAAATGGGACCACGCATGGCCAATATGCGGGATAGCATGGATCCAGCCAAGTTAGTAATCGCCCTACATGGTATATAATCATATAATGACTATAATATCATATGCTTTGCAGATTGGCTGAGAATTCGGTTAACTTGAATTTGAAACTTATGAAATGGCGTCTGGTTCCCGACTTAGATTTGGATATACTTGCAAAGACCAAGTGTTTGCTCTTTGGGGCTGGCACATTGGGCTGTGCTGTGGCTCGCAATTTGCTGGTTAGACTGGATAGCATTTACTATATACATATGTATACATATATATTAATGATCGTCTCTTTTAGTCCTGGGGCTTCAAGCACATAACGCTAATGGACAATGGCAAAGTAGGCTATTCGAATCCTGTGCGTCAAAGTCTTTATACCCACTCGGATGCTGTGGCTGGAAATTGCATGAAGGCAACCACAGCTGCCGCTCGTCTGCTTGAGATTAATCCCAGCGCTGTCACCAAGGGTTATATTTTGGAAATACCCATGCCGGGCCATACAGTGGGCGAGGCATTACGCCCACAAACCGAGCAGCATTTACAGTGCATCGAGGAGGAGGTGCGGGCGCATGATGTCATCTTTCTGCTAACCGATTCACGTGAGAGCCGTTGGCTGCCCACGCTGCTGGGTGCAGCAAATCAAAAGGTTAAATATGGTAGTTGAATATATTAGATAATGGGCGAGTCTGTAGAATGGTTGTATTAGTATGTAGAATATATATATAGAGAATTCCTACATAATATATTTAAGATCATTTCTATTGTATAATTACCTATACTCTGTGTACCCAGTCAAATATGATAAATATTTTATTAATATGCATGTATATTTTGTATGCTCTACAGATTGTCATGAATGCAGCTCTTGGCTTTGACAGCTATCTAGTCATGCGGCATGGCAGCACGCGAGAGCTACCAGGCGATTGTATCAAGGATGTCGAAGGACTTAAATGCATAACTGGACAACAGTTGGGTTGTTACTTTTGCAATGATGTCACAGCGCCAGGAAATGTGAGTAAAACTACAAAATTTAACAAAAACTCAGACTTTATTAATAAATATATACAAGCTAGTAGTATATACAGTTTAAGTAGTATATTGAATAAGGTAGTATATGGTATATAGTTATATATGGCATATAGTAGTATATTAGTATTTTATATATTGTACATTATCATAAATTATTTAGTATATACATACTGAGACATACCACAGATTATATATCAGGACACTACAAATAGTAGTATATATATTGTACATATTGTATTACAAATAGTAGTATATACAATGTAGTAAGTATATTACAAATAGTAGTATATACAATATAGTAGTATATGCCATATAGCATCCTATTCCATATAAAAAATTATTTTATTTAGTAAATAGTAGCAGAGTCTACTTTTACTTTAAGCAAATCTTAAAATATACTAAGCGCACTCGTAATCATGTCTCGAGTATTTCTCAAATCCTGCGCACGTCGTGTCGCCCGTTTGTACGTGATCGACGCCTGTAATTTGAATGACCAAGCCATTGATTGCAGTCACCTTGAAGCCCACGAGGTTCATCATGGCATTCGGTGTGCGCCAGGCGTAGCTAAAGAAATTGAATCCATCCACGGCGGTCAATACCTCGCGTTCCGTGAAAGCCAAGGCCAATTTAAACTGCTGATTGAAGACGAAGGGAAAGCCCCCATGGCGCTCCTCGATGCCAAACCTGCAAAAGAGAAGTGATTAAAATATATGTGTTAGAATATTTAGCTAGCTTTAGGTGAGATTCTCATCCCAAATGGCTTCCGTTTAAAGGTGTTTTTTTAATTAGAGTAGCTTTAAGCAAAGTCTTAATACTCTTTTAGCGAGAGTTTCACATTTTCAGTGTTGGACAATCAACTCAATATACTAGCACTAAACTTCACAGAGATGAGCTTTAAGCGTGCTCTTATTGGCTGTGTGCTCTAATTAAAACCATTATTCAAATGGATTTTGGCTTAGCTGCTAGCTTAAGCAGTGTTGCATAACGAACTTACTCAAAATTCTTGTTCATGGTGTTGCGAATCACAGCCTTCTCGTCGAATCGCACGCTAAAGTGCAGTTCCTCTCGCTTCGTGTCGGAGTCCGTAAACTTGATGATGAATTGGCCACGTTTATTCGCGAAGCAGCGCGCTGTGATGACAATGACATGGCCGGGGCTAAAGAGTATCGGCTGGTCGTTGCTGAAGGCCTTGAAGTAGTCCGAGGCGTGTATGGCCGGCCAGGGATTGGGGAAGACGGTGCGATGATCTACCTGTTTGATCACCTGTATTTGATCGCGTATCTCGACCGCACGAATCGAGCTCAGAGGCAAACGATATCGAAATGTGCAGAACTCGCGGCTATTGATCGAAATGTGAAAGCACTCGTCGGCGGCCAGAATATAGACCATAAAGAACTCCCCGCTGACAATCGGATTGGGCAGATTGATATTGTCCTCGACATGGGACTCCTCCTCGCCCCAGACGCCGTGCATGCGGGAATTGCGCACGATCATATCATTGCGAAAATAGCAGGAGAACCGCAGCCCAATGTCCGCATCGGGATTCACCGAAGACTTGGCCGTGCAGAGATTGATATGGAATCTGGAATGTAGAATAGGACTCATATAAATATGGTTGATTATACAATGGGAGGGCTAAACTGCGTTTAGTCATGTCATCAATGGCGATAACAACGTTTGACTCATATTGAAGGCAGGGCTCTAGATATTTTTTGTGTAATTTACCTGGCTGCTCCATCGATTGTTTTGGCCACGATTTCCAGCACATGGCCGAATTCCAGCGGATGCGATAAATTCCCCGAATATTCTGTTAACATATTTAATAGACTATATTAATAATTGGATTAGGCAATTTAATTTTCCTTTTTTTCGGATTTTATATTTCGTGTTAAGGGTTTATCGTCGAGCAGAGCGAATCGACATTATCTCTGGCAGCGTTCAATGCCTACAATATTTCTTTAAAAACTTCTCTGAGCATTCATTAGAATTTTTATGTACATACAAATAATTTTTATCTAATCAGCAGGCAGCTCACTCGAGCGCTCTTTTTTCATCATTTTTGTTGCTTCTGCTTTCGGCGTGCCCATATTTCCACTCCTCTTGACGTTATTTACTCTTTTTTGTACTTTACTTTATTTTTGTATTGTTTGTTTTTGGCTTTCGCACGCTCAGCTGTGTTGTGTTGCTGCCCTACCTATGGTTGGCGGCGTCATTTTTGTTAGTGTAAAGCTCGTCGTGGAATGTAAAGCTCTCAGCGCAGCGTACAAAGTTGAACTGCATGAAAAAACTGTAAACAGTTGCTGTTGCGCTAATTGGATATAAGAGTAGCTCATGTAATGTATGTAAAATCGTATTACAAGCAGTCCACTGTTAAGTAACAGTAGTTGAACAGCTGTTCTGCAAGCTGCATACTGAGCTTAGGCGCATATCTTATAAGCACAGTTGCCAATTGGAAAATGCCAGCTCTAATAAGCTGTTAAGTTGGCTGCACAAAATGTAAACAGAAAATTGAGAATAGAGTTGTAAGAGAGCTGCCATTTTTGCCAGAGTATAAAGAGCTAGAATGGAATTCAAAAAAACCTGAATCACGATTCTGACATATAATTAGAGTTTTCATATTCCTGCATTCAAATTTAAATGAGACTAATCTATGATTTCGCTTTCTCTCTCCCTCTCTCATGTTAACCTTAAACTTTACGTCTCTGTTTTTTACAGTCGCTCAAGGATCGCACCCTGGATCAACAGTGCACTGTTACGCGACCCGGCGTCTCTAACATAGCCGCCAGCTATGCAGTGGAGCTGTTGGTCGCCCTGCTGCAGCATCCACTGAGGGAGCTGGCGCCCGCCTACTATGCGAACAGTCGCCAGCAGACGACAGAGGTGCAGCAGCCGGAGGGGCTGTTAGGCATCTTGCCCCATTCCATACGCGGCATGCTGTGCAACTTTGAGAACATTTTACCAGCCACGCAGAAGTTTGCGCAGTGCATTGCCTGCTCGGAGGTGAGAAATCTCTATAAATATATCGAGCGATATGTCTATTTAATAAATATGTATTTATATATCTTTAGCGTGTTTTGGCCGCCTATCGCAGCGAGGGTCACGAATTTCTATTCAAAACATTCGAAACGGCCAAGTACTTGGAGGATTTAACTGGTATTTCCGACTTCAAGCGACTTAACAGTGAGGTAGGTGCACAATTATTAATTATTGGATTAATCTAAATTTAATCTGTGTCTGTCTAATTTATAATTCCAGATAATTGACTTTGATGATAATGAGTTTGATATGTCCGACAATGATGATGATGATGATGATAATTAGTTGTTTTTATTATTATTATTAGCACGATGAACTATATGCATTTTCTATTACATTTAAGCTTAAAGAGTCATTTATTTAGCACCAAATTTTATAATTTATGTATGTGTGTTTTATAAGTATTCAAATCTCTGTATGTCGTTTCAAATATATGTCATTTTAAATATAACATACGTATGTTGAGCCTGTTTCTGTCAGAATAAATACTATGATAATTTTACATTTTCAATCCATAATATATAATTAAGAATTGTCTTATAGTAATTCAATACTTATCAACAGACCATTTACTATTTGTTCTGTTATGTGTATGTTAATGAGTAGGTTATGAATAGGTCTTCATTGTCCTGCTTTAATGTTAACGAATGTGATTAACAGCTCTCATACAGAACTTGTCCATGCTCAGTATAAGAGTTGCATAGAGAGTTCAAAATTTGTCTTTGTGCGGATAAACACTAAACAGTTGTACTTATGTATTCATATTATCCGAATATGTATGTACATACATACATATACTTGTATTACACTGAATTGATTTCCTGTTATTGACACTGAAATTAGGCTTGTACATACATTACATATTCCGATAAGAATATTATTTATGACATTTTCATATGATTGTGAATCAGTGGAATCTCACAAATATTCGGACTTGTTATTGTTTTTTGTTTATTTTTGACCTGGAAATGACGACAATTTTTGTTTTGCCCAATATTTGTTTATATTTGTTATTTTAGTTCTTAAATATTTACATGTAAAATATTTTGTTTTGCTTTTTGGGTTTTTTGTTTTCTTTTTTTCCGAATGTTGATAATTCCTATTAAGTTATCAAGAATCAGAACCATGAATCAAAAGTCAAGTTCATTAAACTCCTACAGGTAAGAATTTGAAAAAGAAAGCGGGTCAACATACGGGTTCATGCTAAATGGCAAATGCTGTTCTTAAGGTTAAATGGCTTAAAAATAGATTACGGAAAATTTAATTTAATTTTGGAAATCAGCAGGATCTGCTTTCTTAAGCCCAAGCACGTGTACAGCAATTTTACCGTTACCTGATTGTTAGCTAGCATTCATGAAATGTACAAAAATGACAATAACAAAACACTTGACATACATAATGTTGGTCTCAAACGGCATTTGACCCTAGGCAAAAACCAACAACAGCAGCAACGGTTAATCACTTAAGGTTTGGCTACCCACTGAGCCGATGATAACTGCTTTCTTCTGCAAATATCGAAAAACAACAATAACAGCAGCAGCAGCAGCGAGTCTACATAATTAATAGCTGTTAAAGGCGAACGCTGCAACAACAATGGCTCAACGAAACACAAACAAAGCCGAAGCTGACAGCAGAAACAACCACAATAACTCCGCGACTCAGCGTGACAAAAAAAAAACGTAGACAAATACGAAGAAAGAGCAGCAAGAAATATGCAAATAACAAAAACAACAGCAGCAAGCAGCAGCAATGGCTGCCATAGCCGGCGGCGGTGACAGCGACGGCGGCGTCAACGATGCCTTGAAAGCGCTCAAAATGCCAATCGAGTCCGTAGCATTTCACTCAAATTGCGTTTTGAGTGAAACGAAGTGACGTTTTGGTATGGGCCAACGGATTCACATAAATTGGTGAAAGATATCCAAAATGCGCACAGAAAACAGCCGAACGCGCATACAACTGGCCAGAGTTTGAAGACAGTGTTGCAGTGCAGTGCATAATACTACTAAAATTATATTTTTAACTACGTTTGGCAGTAAAAGTTTTAACAAAAAGGAAAGCAATATGGTAAGCGTGAACTTTTGCATACAATTTAAGTTAAAATCCTTTTAAAGTTATACAAATACCTTTGGTTATTTATAAGTTGCATCAATTTTATGGAGTATTCACTAATTGCAGTTTCCTTTGTTGCTCTTTCTCGTAACTCGTTGCGAAAGTTGTTTTGCATTTGAAAAAACGTTGCAAAATCTCTTGTGTTTTTTCTTCAAATCTTCAAAATTGGCTAATGGCCATAGCTATAGCCGTGACAGCATTTAATTACCATTCATATACATATGCATAAAGAAATCTATCAATTTGAGCTTTACTATACGCAATGGAGGCACGTCGCAATATCAAGTGTTTTTAATAGGCTCATTAAAATGCTTAAGCGGGACTCGTGGCTTACATACAGAGTGCGGATGGCCTATAGAATGGTTTAAAATTTTTGAAATTCATAAATATTTGTAATAGACTTAAATACTTATTTAACACAATTTGAAAATTTTGGATTATTATTTTCACTTTGAGCTTAACTTTAACAGATATATATTTTGTGAGGTTAGGTACACAATTTCTGATACTCGTTCACATAGTAAAGACAGCATATTCATCTACCTTACAAGATATATGGCTCTCTCAATTAAGTAAGCCCTCGAGCGCTATTTTCGTATTTCTAGAGACAATATTTCCTATTTTTGTAAACCTAAACCTGACGTGTTTTGTATTTAGTAACGTTATCTATGAATAGACGCGTTTAATATACTTTGTTTTCATATAAAGTCAGATTATGTAAGATGTTTTCCAATCTGCTGAAAGGTAGAGCTCTGTAGCTATATATAGTCATATATGGCTATTTATATATCTATAGCAGTAACTTTATAGCTCTCCATTCACAAGCCTTTCCCAATCTAAAACTATTTAACTAAAGCAAAAAAAAAAAAAAAAAAAAAAAAACAATATGTTTAAAAAATGGGGCTTGACTCTTAAGCCGAGGAAATCCATAGAAAAAGATTCTAGAAATGACGCAGATAGAAATATCAACTGATAGACTAAGTCAGTTTCTACAGTGAATACCCGCAATATTTATAACAATGTATGCATATATGTATATATAGACAGTACATGATCAGATGGCATGCGTCAGTCGAAACAACAAGAGTTTGAAGACATTTTTTTGCTTATCAGTGAAGCTGAATTGGGAGAATACCAAATCTCTTGAAATTTGGGTGTCAAAAATGGTGATTTTTGTTCAGGTTTCGGAGGAGGCGGAGGCGGAGGCTGCCGCCCATGCCAGATGTTGAGCTCCTGGCAACATATATTATAAACATGGCCATAGCTCAGAGATCGCTCATTTTAGAGATAAGAGTCAGGGGTGAGATCTTACGTATATATTCTTTATAAGAAAATATTCGGTTTATTGACTGACAGACGCATTCGCAATCAGTCGGTTGAGCCAAGTGGTACGAGAGCAGCTACATTGCAATATATTCCCATATATATATATAGAAAGAAAATAAAGACAGAGCTGATTCTAAGCATAGTTCAATAGCGCTATTGATAACTCTATCACGAACACTCAATTCATTTAAATCAATCAAGAAGTAAGTTTACAGCGATTAAAATACTATAAATCAGAAATTTTTCCATTGATCGTAGACAGATTATATGGTATATATGTATGTATATATGGCAATTATATTAACAGAAAATTCGTACATCTCTGAATCTCAGGTGAATCAAAGCAAGTGTAAAATGGCTTTGTCCAAGATCGATGGGGAGATCGATAATATCGATCAGGAGAAATATTTGCGCCAGGCGACGCATTACTATTGCGCGCTGGAGAAACCATTAAAGTTTGGACCCGCCGTGGATAGTTTGCCGGATCTGATATCGGCATTGCATCGCGAATTCGACGCGAACTATGTGAACATCGAGATGGTGAATCATCTGATGCTCGCCTACAAATCGAATCCCAAGGAATGGCGTAAATATGCCAAATTCGATCGTTACACGTATACGAGAAATCTGGTCGATGCCGGCAATGGGAAGTTCAATCTGTTGATACTCTGCTGGGGTGAGGGTCACAGCTCATCGGTGCACGATCACGCGGACTCGCATTGCTTCATGAAGATGCTGAAGGGTGAGCTGCGAGAGAAACGCTATCGGTATCCGAACCGGGGCGGCGATGAGGAGCAGCAGCAGCAGCAGCAGGATCACCAACACATCAACGATCACGAGCTGGTGGAGATCGGCGATAAGCCCATACCAGTCAATGATGTGGCCTACATAAATGGTGAGTGCCTCATGCACTGCCCTAATCAAGTCATTCCTTAACGGTTTTCCTTTTAACCCACTTCAGATAACTTGGGGCTGCATCGCGTGGAGAATCCCAGCCATACGGACACCTCGGTCTCGCTGCATCTCTACTGTCCGCCCTTCGATATGTGCAACATCTTCCAGAGCAATGGCAAGAAGATACCAGCCAAGGTTACGTTCTGGAGTAAATACGGCGTACGCAACAAAGCCAATGAGCAATAGACTACAAACACACATAGATATATATATACTCATATATATTTAAGTCTCCTATTATTAGTTGTTAAGCTCTTAGCTATACCAAAAATGTTAAATTAAGTTACATTAACTGAATAACAAAAATACTTTAAACTAGAAAACAAGTCTTATCTATGGCGCCTTGAACCCCCCCAATGCTTATCATGTTCCACGTACACATACATACATAGTTTCGAATTTAGCACGAGTTAGCGGTTTTGTTTTTCCTTATATGATTCGATTTAATTCATATGGACACATACACAAATACCGGAAAATAGATAGAAATAAAAGAACTCGAATTGGTTTCCTAACGTCGATTCGAAGGATCCTTCGCTGATCACTGATCGTGTGTAGCCCCTGCAAAGCATCAATTCGTGCTGCCAGCAGGACATCATTGATTGATAATGTGCTATGATATGATATATGATCATCGAGAACTGATCATTGATGGTTTCTTCTGCTGTTAAGCATCCGCACTCTTTTGATCACGCAAATGCGATCTCTTCGGCACACCCCTGTCGAGTGTCTTCTGTATGTTCTTCATCAGACCGGGCAGCAGATTGATGTGCTTGTCCACACAGTTACCGGTGCACACCTCGAACAAGTGTCTGGATCGCGACATATCGTGTTCGTTGGGATTGCTGGGCAGCTTCGAACGGGCATCGCTATTGCATTCCTAGGGGAATTATTAAAGGATTTGTAAATATATACAATTTAGTGCTGAGTATATTGATAAAGATAAGAAAAGAGTATTTCCTAAATAATTCAATGTAGATATATCTCTAGATACTTTTCTATTATACTATATTAAACTGAGCTATTTGCATAAACATGAGATTTTTATGGTACGAACTGTACCTTTATGAATGAATGTCCTCATAAGTTTCATATTATGAAGTTATGGCTATACTTAATGTTACTTATATGCAATATATAGATATAAGGTACAGCTGACAAATTAATCTATAAGTTTAGGCTATACAATATCTTGGCAATCAAATTTCCATAGAGTGTATATCTAAATATAGTAGCTATATTTACTAACTAGATCCTTAGATTATCTTGAATCTGTTCCCAATAGGTGAACAGTTCATTTCTCTTACCTTGACAAAGTCTTAAAAATGATAGATCATTGATATGAATACGATCTCTCTTAAAACTAAAGCCTTTCCTAGCTGTACTTTAAGCTGTTTCCTCTGCCTGGCATCAAAATGTCTCTATGAATAATCTAAAATTGAAAGACTGGTCTCTTCTATCTGTAGTATATCACTAAGCAACACAGATCTCTTTTATAGCTCCATCCTTCGATCTCCTTGAAGCTGTTCAGCTATTCACCTGTGCCGTTCAATTCTCTCACCTTGACACAGCCCTGCAAATGGCTTTGGAACTGTCCCAGCTCGTTCTGCAAATAGTCCTGGGCATCCATTAGGGGCGAGGCGCACTTCTCAATGCAACGTTGCACGCTGTCCAAGGTGCCGCGCTCATCGTCGCAGCAGGTGGCGGCGCACCGATGCATTATGGACTAGGAAATTCGATTTTTAAAATATATATCTATACTGATATATTCGCTTGAAGCTCACCTGCATGCGCCGCAGATGGGAGCGATACATGTCCTCGATCATGTCGCTAATGGCGCCCTCCAGACGTCGCTTCTGTTGATCCACCATTTTTTTTTTTTTTTTTTTTAGGTTTATTTAAAGAATTTTGAAAACAAAACTACGTAAAACTTGGTGTATATACATAAATGTATAAGTATATGGATATATGTATATATATTTTCTTAGATCTATTTGTTTGAATCTATGTAATATATAAATTGTTTTCAGTGATGTGAATAATAGCAAAGCAAACGTTGTTTGGGGTTCAAGTGTTTACTGATATAGTGTATAATGATATATGTATGTACATATATTTCTCTATTGCTCAAGATCCCTAGGGATCAAATAATGAAGATAAAAGGGAGAGAGAGAGAAGGAAAGAGACTCTCTGAGAGCTGAATGATCATGTTAATTAACTTTCATATAAGTATGTCCAAACTTTTATACTCTCTCTCTATCTCTCTTTCTTACATATAGAACGCTCTAGCTCCTCTTCCTGACTGCCAGTTTTTCTGCTCCAGCTTCTTTTTCTGCTGGATTTTTTATTTAAAAATATAAAAGACGTTTTCTGTTCAGTTTAGGCGCCATAAACCTGGCTTTAATTAGCGTGCTTAAAGGGGTTTTATGTTTTTCTTTTAGTTAACAATACATTTCAGAAAAGGGAGCTCAACAATTAAATGCAGCATATATGCACTATAGCATCTATCTTACACCACATATATGCTATAGCACATATATGCACAGGACTTAGACTTAGACTTGCGGTATGGCGTCGGGTCCCTTGGCTAGAACCGATTTCATTGTCTTCATTAGATTGGGTATGAGGCCAACGTGCTTGTCGACACATTGTATGGCGCATCTTTCGAACTGATCCGTAAACTTGGCTATCTGATCCTCGTTTGGATTGGGTGGCATTTTCACTTTAACATCATCGTTGCATTGCTAGAAATGAAACTTGTTGCAATTAACTCTCCAGCGCTCGCTCTCTCGTCTTATGTATTGTATGTAGCTCACCATGACGCAACGTTGAAGTCGTCCCTGAAATTCGCCCAACTCGTGCTGCACGTAGTTTTGCGCCCTTGTCATGGGCGCTGAGCAACGATCGACGCAGCGCTGCACACTGTCCACGCTTGAGGTCCCGTCTTGGCAACATTTTGCCGCACACAGATGCATGTCCGTCTGTTAGAAAGAACAGGAAAACATCGATGAGTACATTTCCAATTGGATTCGTATTGGAGTAAGTACCTGCATTTTGCGTAAATGCGACTTGTCCATGTCATCGATGAGCTCGGTCACGGCTGACTCTACACGTTGGCGCTGTTGTTGTATCATTATTATTAATTATGGATTAAAGTCTGCAACTGCAACTGCTGATTTCGTAATATATGAAGTGTATAAAATAGTAATATGCTGCCCGGCTAGACAGCGTGTTTTGTAATTCGTAACGATAATAGTCTGCTTATCGATAAAATGAATTGGGATGTCAGCTGTTTTGGCTGCGAGTGGCGGCGGGTCGATGACCTGGATTTGTATTCTATCGGCTTAGTTGCAGCATTACCTGTGTAGTAATTCTTATTATTTTTCTAATTTATAAATAAAAAGAATGTCGCTGCTGCGTAAACTTGGCACCTACACAATGCAAGCGAATGTTTGCAATTGGAGCCGCCAGCTATCCGCCACACAGCGCTTGTTCAGCACTGAAGGAACGACGACGAGCGATAAAAATGTGAGCGAGACACAGCCGGAAGAAAATACGGCCAAGGGAGGATTCGCGCGTGCCTTTGAGAGATATACGGCGCCAGTGGAGCCGGAGCCCGAGCCCGTGGACAATCAGAGTTTTGCTTCACTGCTGCGCAACTCCAAGTTTATTGATGTAGGTAGCATTTGGATATTCTAGTCAATGTTTATGTAATCTCGTTAATTTTTGTAGCTGGGCGATCCGGAGGGCAAAGTTGTCAGTGGTAAAATCTTTCACGTTGTCGGCGATGACTTGTATATAGATTTTGGCTGGAAGTTTCATTGTGTGTGCACGCGACCCGCGAGGAATGGCAGGTGAGAGCAAATACTAATTTATATGCATATTTATATCAAATAGTATATATCAAATAAGTATTTTATTTATGCTTAAATCGTTATAAAATTCTGTTTGTCTAGCGACTATGTGCGCGGCGCACGCGTTCGTCTGCGCGTCAAGGATCTGGAGCTATCCACTCGATTCCTCGGCTCCAGCAAGGATATAACTATACTCGAGGCTGATTGCCAGCTGCTGGGACTGATCTCCACGCCCACGCGTCAATCGAACCCACGAGTGGAATTCAACGCACCACGAATCGAGACGTTGATCTAAAGATCTACACAAAATATCTATTCACTGCATTAAACTAGTAAAAGAATCAAAAGTTTTTCTTGAAGCAGCTTTGTCACATCGTAAATTGGAAGACTTCGTAGTGATGATTCAGTTCCTTGACTGCGTGCAACTGGAATTTGCTGGTCAGTGCGCCATTCTCGGATTGCTCGAGGAAGAAGATGCGTTTGACGCGACTGTGCACCAGCGCCATGGAGCACATCAGGCAGGGCTCACGCAGCAAGTAGACATCGTAGCCGGTGCACAAGTAAGGACCGTATTTGCATAGATTATCAGCATGGATATCCTCAACAACTGGCTCTGACTGCTGCTGCTGCTCCTCTCGCCTGGGCAGCTCAGCGCCCAGGCTTAAATCCTGGCAAGCTGCGTCTTGCTTTAGATAGTCGTAAAAGATTTGTGGCAAGCCACTCAAGGTGCTCTTTGTGTGCGGTTCGTCTTTGACGAATTCCACATCCGATTGCCAGGCGCCGCCACGTTGACTGCGCGCTACATGATCCACCAGCCACATTACGCAATGCTGATGACTGCTGCCGTCGCCTGCAGCTGCGAAAGAAATCGCTGAGGATCAAGCTATCAGTGACTTGGGTTCACTTCCTCACCTGCTATGGCGACAATGCTCGGCCTTCGTGGATCTACGCAAATGCCCACATTTTGTCCCTTGCTCACATCCTTCGATAGCTTCCATAGCAGCTCGGCCATTCGTTTGTGGTATGCCCTTTGACTGTCTGTAAAATTACTGCCATTCTGCAAGGATTCGGCATATTTATCCGGATGAAATTTGCATGGCCAAAATTTGCTCATTTTTTCGTATTGCACACGCAGCTTGGCCGAACTGGCAGGCACCTCAATTACATTCACATTGCGGCAGAGGGCCTTTAAAACATTATCGGAGATCTGATGTAGCTTCAAGTGCTGCTCTAGTGTCTCTTTAATATCATCTGATGGACATATTAACACATTCCTGTCATGAACGCGCTTCAAATGCTGGAAATGTGGCAGCTTCAGGGCGAGCTCTTTGATGACTGCTTGCAGCTGTTGTTTACTCTCCAATTGACAGCTGTGCACCTGCATCAGCTCTATGTCCTTTTTGTAGTCATCGGAGAGTATTGCTTTTATGCCAAAATTGTCAATTTTGATTTTTTTCGTAGCTGGCGGGCATAAATTGTCCTTAATTTCATTGTTGTCCATTGCTTACAAATTATCGAGTAGTTGTAAGCGCATGGTATCGATACTGTACATGGCATGGTCACCCAACTATCGAGTATATACAACCATTTGGTTTCGATATGCACAGCATAGTAAAATATGTACGATAGCTATCTGAAAATTCGATCGAACAGATAGCTGCCCGCCAACAGTCAAATAAAATTAAATTCGAAATTTTATGTGATGTAATTTGTATTAAAATGTGTTATTCTAAAAGTGGGTTTCTCTGCTGTATATCTCTTTACAACGGAAGTATAATTATTGGAGTATCGGGCGTTATATTCGCCATTATTGGTCTTGCTATTGCCATTGCGAGACTTGCACATATATTTTTAGTATGGGCAATTTTGGCAATAATATTTCTACTCATATATTTAACAGCCAAAATACTCCTACTTTTAGGTGTTGCATTTGTAAGTTTTTGATTAATAAATATATATGACTGTAATAAAAATGATTATTTTTACAGCATAAATGCTTTCTCGTGCAACTGTCCTTTTATATAGTGTGCATATCGTTATTTTTCGCTTTTGTCCTGTGCGTATGGATAATGGCTGTTGATGGCGCAATATTACTCGGCGTCATAGGATTATTCATTATTTTGGGCACGTTTAGACACGGGATAACGATAAAATGAAAAATGTATATATTTATTTTCGTTTCTTTGAATTTCAGTGGAAATTTATTTTGCCTGGATTGTGATTTCTTACTGGAATCTGTGTGAAAACTGCTGTCTAGCTTAAATTTTTACCAAAGCGCACAAAAGTATTATATATTAAATGCATGTATACGAATTTGTTACCACATGAGTGTATATCTATATAATATATAATGTATGTGGCACACTGTGTTGAATTATTTTATGTTTAATATTCAACAGTATAATTTTAAGCCTAATGTTTTTCGCTTTTCAATAAATGCTAACAATAACAATGCTCTCTAAAGTTAAATAATTGCATTCAACATGTATAGCAGAGCCATTTTGAGTTTAACATTCGATTTTTGTAACGGCCATCAATAACAGAAACTGTTAGCTGTGCTGCTAGTAACAGATCAGATTCGATCATAACAATACCATTTGAGCACAACAATTGCACAATATTAAAATTAAAACTCTTATTAAACAAACAAAGGTAAATAACAGTAAGAGGCAACAGTAATAGCTCCAATTGGTATACAAAATTGAATTTGATCAACAGCGAGAAAAACAATAAAGAGCGACCGTTAAGCCGAACGTGTTTAGAACTTATAAATTCGTATAAGAGACTATCGAATTGTGTCGGCTCCAAAAACGCGAATTCAGTTCGCTTCGAAACGTCGTGTGGGTGAGTTGGTGCAGCGGTCATTTGTTATGATCACAGTCGCCGTCGTCGTGGTTTAGCGCGCGTGCGTGCAACGCTTGGAAGTGTTTTGTTGCTGTGTGCGAGAGTGTTTTCCACATTTAGAAGTAACGGTGCGAAGGTGAGACTGGAAAGTCAGCGAAGCGCGTTCATTTCAAGTGCATCTTCAGATTGATATTTTGCAATTAGCGTAATTTTTTGTTATACGAAGAGTTTTCTTACCTGTTCAGCCAAACAACAACAACAACCAATAACAGCAACAGCAAAGTTTTCAATATTGAAAATATTCATGTGGCCAGGCAAAGTTCACAGCCGGTTTAGTCATACGCGAAATTCTGAGAATTCTACAAGTGGATTTGATCTAACAGTTAAGTGTGCGCGAACGTGTGTGTGCATGTCTGCCTGTGGCTGTGTGCGTATGTTTGTATTTATGTATAACAGCTGTTGCACTGCACCTAAAGTCTAAATTGCGTACTTATTAGGTATTTGCTCTGCTCCGCATAGCAGCAGCAGATAAGATAGAAACCAAAGACGTTTTGCACAGTGTAAAACTCTTATATTTGCGCCCGCGTGTGTGTGTGAGTGTCTACATGTGTGTGTTTATCTTATCGGTAGACCATTGATTGAAGTAGCTTTTTGCTTTTGGCTAAAGCAATGCCGGGTGAAGTCATTTGCGCAGCGACTAAGCAAAAGAGTCTATGGACAGCTAGATAGGATATCTAAGCACCTATAAAACACCCAAAACCAGCCAAAAGAAATAAGAGAAGAATAGAAAGAGAGAATAAAACCAGCCACGCAATCTTTGGCTAAATTTGGACACAGACCAAATACCAAACAAGGCATTGCGAACATAAATCAACTGCAACAGGAGCAGCAGCAGAAGCAGCAGCACCAGCAGCAGCAGTAGCCAAGATGGAATCCGATTCGGACACCTGGGAGGACTTTTTTGGTAAGTACGATGCCACATAGTTCGTTGAACCTGCCACCAATCACTTGCCTCCATGATCATCATCCTCATCATAATTATCATCACTTTGATGACTCAGCGCAGCAGGACTGCACTGTCAGAGATGAGCATGTGACATGAGCCGTTATGTGCATTCCAATCAGTGCAGTGTTGTCAGCGGCGCTTATTGCCGAATCTAGCCGTTTTCCTTTCAGTGTCGGCTGTGCTAGCTCATAGCCAAAAATAGCTAGTGCTTGAGCAGTTTACATTGTTAGCTTTTATCCTAGCTTTTATTTATGCATTACCCATAGCCGATTCTAGCTTGGGAAGTATGCAAAATTAGCGATTTAGCTTTTTTCTGCGCTTATTCTGAGTTCGCAACACTCGTTCATCTTTGGTGTGGCGTGTGGCAAGGTTCTGTCTGGGGAGGTAGGCGTACGCATTTTCGCATGTTTTAGCATTTCGATTGTCTGTCTCCCTCTGCCCAAAAATGGCAGACACTAACACACGCGCAAGCGTATACACAGAGGAGAGCACAGGCAGACAGAGGCCTGGTTTTGTTTTTGTTGGCTGCAGTCGTCGCTGGCGTCGTCGTCACTATAACTGTACACTTGAGTTGAAGTGCGTTTTGCTGTAACGGTTTCCAGTTCCATGATTTTTGCGCTGTTTTCGTTTTTTTTTTTGCATTTTTCTCGATTCGTGCGCGGCTTGTAATGAAATTTAATGATAATACATAATTTTTGTTGCCTCAAAATTTTTGACCCAAATTGCGTTTGAGCCACCCAGCCGAGAGCAATTGAAATATTGTTGGTCTTTTCTTTTCCCACTTTGCCATTTTATGTTAATCGCCTGCGTCTTAATTATGACCCCGTTATAAAGGTAACATTTTGAGAGCGCGTGCTGTTTGTCTTTGTTGCAAATCAAATGAGGGCGAATTCAAAAGGTGCCAAGAGGTGGGTGGGGTGCGTCCGCCAGTTTCTCGCCCAACAATAATTCAATTGTGCATTAGTCACACAATCATAATTTATATAAATACGACTACGACGCTCGTTCGACTGCGCTTAATGGCAATTTTTTGCGCTCTTAGATAACAGTACAAGTGTGCTGGCGGTCACTCACAAAGGGACTGTTAGTTAGCATTTCTCTGTCGGTATATAGGTGTGTGTGTGTGTGAATGCGATTTGACAGTGTGCTATAAATGACACTGTTAGTGCGTAATGATTGCGAATAGGTGAGCTTAGGTTTTTTGTTTTTTGGAAATCAGTCATGAAATCAATCGTAAAGACTCTCTCCATCTCTCTCACATATATCCTCTCTCATTCACTCTTTGCTAGTTAAAGTCGTTCGGTTTCGGTCTATTTTCGATAGTCTTACAGTTTTCCAGTCTTTATTATATAGATTAAGTTTATTGATTAGCAAAGAAGCTTATTTTTAACGAGTGTCAAAAAATTATAAATAATAGTAATACAAGATAATAAATCGAATTATTACTCGATTTTTATAGTCTGCAATTATCGTCCATAGAATTTACTGTCTTAATTGGATTGTTCACTATATATACGTTCTTTGGTTTAATTAATTTTTGTTTTTCAATTATTTTTTGGAAAGCCAATTAATGTGCTACTCTCTCTATCTCATTCTTCGCATTTAATTTCTCTCTCTTTTTTACTCCCTGTTAGTCAGGCAATCAGTCACTTTTTTATAGCCTAGGCCTAATTTTAGCGTATCGCCTTTCTCTTCGATTTTCATGGCCTTCAATTAATGCCCACGAAGTTAGTCAAGTCTAAATATGCATTTTTTAAATCGAATTTCATTGCATTAGCAGACTTAAGGCAATAACCCACACACACACACACATATATATATAAATAGTGTGCTCAGACACTTGTCTGCCTTCCACTTAACAGATATTCAAGTATTTCTATATATACATATTTACATATATGTATATATATTTGTGGAAATAGAAAATTGATATCGTTGCCCTGTTGCTTGGACAACATTTGACCGCTTGTGCTATCAAATGTCACTCTTTAAATAGGGGCCGCAGAGGGGGTTTTCTATTTGTTACTTCCAAAAAACGAAAAAGAAAGAAAATAACTGAAAGTCAAATAGAAAATTTGTCTGTTGCTGTTCGACTTGTTGACACAAGTGCTCGCTGACAGAGAGTCGCGCATGCATAGAGCCTCTGGGCAGGTCAAGACCGAGTCAGACTCGGCACTTTTCCTCACCTTTTATAAACAAACACACAAATAGATAGAGAGTGACAGAGCGAGAGACCCAGAAAGTGAGTGAGAGAGAGAGAGATCGCGAGATGTGCTGTTAAGGAGGACAATACCTTTAACGGCTGCTGTCAAACCGCAAACACCACGGGAGTCTCGACTCGACTCTCAGGTCTTTTGAGTCTTGGAGTTCATTTGATATTATTGCTCTGTTTCTGATTGTGATCTGAGAAAGAAACCTTTTTCGGCTCTGCGGCTGTGCCCCCTTTTGTCATACCCTGTTACAATTGCTAGAAGTCTAATCAATTAGAAAATAAATAGATTTGAGTTATTTGACGTACACAATATCAAAGCAAAACAGATTCTAATATATCATATCGCTAATTACTCCTATTGTCTCAGAATACATAAGTAACGATATTCGGCCAGAGTTCTTTGAACATATATTAACATAAATTAGAGAAACTTTTGGATGTATATCAGTTTATCTTATCTGGAATAAGATAAATTTATAAATATTATTGCTGTAACTACCTAAAAATCGATCGCTATCGTTTGAGCTATTTTTAGATTAAACGATCATATAATACTCATTCATTATAAACTCATTTTTTATACATACATATATCATTATATCAACTATATCTCAAGAGCCTAGTTTAGCTCTCTATCCTTTATTCTTCTCTTTATTTTCGTTAGACATTGGGAATTTCTATGCAGGAAATATATAATAACTAATTGAATACCAATATTACTCACACTCTATATATGTGCAGTATCTCTATATATGTAACATATACGTATGTATGTATATTTATTTTGTGTGTTCGATAAGATTTGTTCGCTTGACTGTGATAACGGCGACAAGGCCAGCGGAGCCAGATAAGTCCGGCGACTTTATAGATAAATTCCACTGTGCGCCGTTTGCTGCGCCTTGATCCAAGAGGTCAAGATAGTTAGTTGCGCCTTCCATTTCCGTTGCCCAATTCAGTTAATGAAGCTAATTGACAAAAAGTTCAAGAAAATTGACGCATAATCAGAACGCGCTTCGGTTCAATGCGGTTCACTGTACAACTCAAGAGACGAACTCTACTTACATACATATACATATGTATATATGTTTATTATTAATTCCCATTAAGCACTACACACTCCAGTATTACCTCACCCAAAGCGAACTTCTAATTGCAGCAAAGCTCTCTCGCTCTTATACGCTTTCCCCCTCTCTTTCTCTCTCTCTCTCTCTTTCTGATCTACCTACTTTAGGTACTTGCAGTACCTCGAGACATGACGTGTGTGGGCCGTGAGTCGGCGTTTGCCAGCTTGTTCTCAATTCTTTTCTTTTTTTGCATTTTATTTTTGGTTTGCTCTGTTGACGTCTGTCGGCTCTGGCAGCTCTACTCTAATTGCCACAGCTGTATTTCTCTCAGTGTACGCACTTCTAGCAGCGTTGTGGGCGTTGCAGAAGGTCGTAAAACTTGCAAGCGATCATTGCGCACGCACGTCCCAAAAGGTTTTTTCTCAATGAAGCCCACAACAGATGCAGCTCAGGTACTTAATACCCTGTAAAAGCGCAGCAGTTGGATCGTTTGAACTGGATAGAAGCATAGATCTATTGATATAAAGCTTAGTAATTCTTAATGTGGTTACAATTTCTGGTATGAAATAATGAAATCTTATACAATATATTATATGTAGTCGATAAAAATTATAAAGCCACATATTCATATCTAACAGTATTTATGTAGTTTATCGATATTCTTTGATATCTCGATAAATATTGTTAATACGGTTCTGATTCGATTCGATATGTAGCGATATCAATTTTTTGTATTCAATAATTTAAAATATCGATAAATAGCCTTGCGATAAAAATGATAGAATAATAGATTTTAGGTAGAGCTAGAACTCTTAAAACTCCAATTCATTTCAATGCCTTAGCTTTCACAGGGTATCTATTTCTCGTTCATCTACTGTTGCAGCAGCCATACCTCATGCTGTTTTGTTGCCGTTTGCCGTTGTCGTAAGTTTGTGGGACTTTGACTTTAATGAACGCTTTGCGGCAAATGCAACTGCAAGTCGTAGAAACTGCCCCCCTCTTGCTAGACTTACTGCGCCCCCTCTGTTCCTCTCTCTTACTCGGTTGATGTCTGCCCGCCCGCGTTCATCCTTTTGGCTTCGGCTTTTGGTCTTTGGCTCAACACAATTCTATTTTGGCAGCAAATTTATAACTTCCTTGGCAAATGCCATTTGCTTAGACAGTTTACGCCTACCCCCGTTGAAGAGTGGCTGCGGGGGCGCGAGCTGCAGCACTTAAGCCTGGCTCAGAACTCACTGAGTGACAGTTTTTTTTTTTCTCCCATTCTTCTTCTTTTTTGTTTGCTTGACAATGCAGGGGAACTGCCTAGGGCTGTCTGGAGAATATTATTGCGATATGACTTACGCATGCTTCATTCACGCTGATTTACCCGACATGAGTCACGGGCCAGCCCTGCGAGTCTGGTCACTCACAGATATTGTATCTGGAGTCGGGTAACTGTGCTGCAGCTCAAATTGCATTGCAGTTCAGCGCTGCGACGACAGCTGCCCAAAGCTGCACAATTCACAATAAACATAGGCGCATTACAATCTGAAATTTATTGTGGTGTGAGGGAGCGAGTGAGAGCGCATTGAGTAGATTCTTTGATGAAATGTGTAACGTAATGAAGGAAGGAAATGAGTAAAGGAGAGCGGGGACGGTATGTAGTTGCTTCTCAATAGAAATATTAAAAATAAAACAGCAAATTTAAATATAAAAAAAATTTAATGAAAAAATATTTAATAAAGTGAATAATAAATATATACATATATAAAATCATTTTAAGCAAATATA